AACAATTACATTATGAAATAACGAATTCAGCATCGTATTTCTTGTTACCGGCGTTAAATACTTATGTGTGTTACTGGTGTAAATACGTATGTGGTCTCGAAACTCGGAAAACGTTCTATTTCGCCAAGAGCCGCGCGCGGGCGCACGGGGCCAATGCAAAGTCCCTACTCCGCACCGCGCTCACACACCGCGTGACATTCTTCGTTTATCTGAAATATCAGAGGGTTAGGCGACCTCCACGGCTACGCGCCGCCCGCGGCCGCCAGCGCGACCTCGCTTTCCCGCGGCGCGAGGCGCCACCAACGGGATGCGAAGTGCGGACCCGCGGCGCCGACGGCAGCTCGCGTGCCCGACGAATGGGAAGAGCTCTTTGCCTTCCATAAGGAAAAAAACACATTTTTTTTAAACTCGCGCCAATGACTGTAATTAAAAAGCACGGGCGACAAAAAAATGACATTTTCAGCGCTTGTTTTCCTCGTTTACGTTACAGAACGACTCGGTAAGCAGAAATAATAACAACGCGATCGTAGATGTTTCAGCATCCGTGTTAACGTGAATGACTTGCGAACGCAAAACAATGAGTTGAGATGACATCGTGAGTACCCAAGATAAATGACATCTCAAAAAGTGCTCATTCTGCAGAACGGTTTTAATCTGAGTGGAGTCGTTTACTTCCGGGCCAAAGTCAAAATATTTAGTCTCTAACTCGACTGGCTTGTGTGCTGTACGAAGTTTTGAATAGTTAAAACACAACACAGCTGAACTTCGCAATTGAAAGTGATAAAGATCGTATGTCGAAATTTCACATTTTTTATTAGTGAAAAATGTTGCTGCTTATGACCTTTAGCTTATTCAATAAAAAGGTACAACTACATGGACCCAAGGAACCAAAGAAATAAAGTTTTCTTGCTCCACAAAAAACTGTACTTTCTCCACATACAACTTTTTTTTTACACTTTCAGCGACGATAGAGGGTAGAGCCCATTCGAATCGGGCCACAAAATGAACGGCTCCGGTCAGAATAAAACTGTGTTCGTGTCAAGTGACAGCTTTTGAAATGAGTCACTTTTCTTATGCACCAACGTTCCGTCCGAATCTAAAAAGTATTGAATCGAAACGGCGGAGCGTGGCTTCCTCAACGCGAGGAGATCCACATTGTAGCTCCTTGCACATAACTGCAACACACGGTCGCGACCTCAAAAGAAGAGGTCGACTTGAATAACTGCAAGTAATATGCAGAGGAAACATATGTTACCTTACCAGTTCTTTACAGCAATTCATTCTGAATGCAGGATTTCGTATTTGTGAATAATGACTACACTGACGTCATAAATCGGTCCCGATGAATGCGATGGCTCCTCTGGACGAGTAATTTCTTGATAATGCAAAAAAACATTTCCTCTACTTTTCTCTCGTTATACGGTCTCTCTGCCCAGACGTTAAAACTGATGAAATTTCAGCGTTAAGCATTTACTGCAAAAGTTAAAAGGATGCCGGTGATTCGATCCATTTTGTTAACACGACGTAGCCCAATACAACTCCTTTGCAATCATCTCTTTGCACCTCTTAATAATAAACATATTTAAAATATTACTTCGTTCAAAACCTTCACGCAACAACACACTTAACTATCCAATAAAATATTGTTTTTTGTAAAGAAAATATTTATATTTTAGAGCAGTAATACATTTTAAACTGGTAACAAGAAGTCAGTGCTGCCGATTCATACACAACTAATCTCAGTGCGGCCGATTCCTACGGGCGATAAGTCTCATCCAATCGACGAATCGTACAACGTCCCGACCTCTTTTGGTTTGTACGTAGTCGTTCGCATAGTGTAACGCGGCTCCACACATGTGGCATTCGCCAGTAGCGAACAACTGCACGCCCAATCCCAAGTAGCTGATGCGCTCGGCGAATGTTCGCTTCCTTTGATGTGCGCAAATGACCGACACGCAAGGAGTAGGGCGAGCACCCAATGTTCGCAATAGCAAGCACGCCATCCACACAATACTCGGAATTCGGCGAACAGCCGCTCGCTCCTCGCCGAATACCGACTGTGTGGATCGGTGGCGTAACGAAATGAGTACGGGTCCGCCCGCAAAACTTTTATCCGGGCCCCCCTTCATAAAAGTGTATAGCAAATAAAAGTTGTTGTTTTTTTGTTGTTATTTACGGTCGCATCAACTTCTAGGTCATTAGCTGAAACGTTGCGGCACTTACCGATCGGCGGCACTACTGCCTTAGCGATCTCAGCCAACCGGACCGGAAAATACAAGTATTGTTAGTACCCTAAATAATAATAAAAACAAATAACCCCTCTCCCCTTTTTTACCCGGCATCGCGGGCCTTGCGGGCTCGATCGTTGCGCCACTGACGTGGAACCGCGTCGACGCCCCGCCCAGCAGCGCGGCAGCGCGCGAACGCCCCGCTGCGTCTGGCGGGCGGGAAAGCGAGGCGCGTCGTAATGCAAAATCCGAGCAGAGAAATGCGGCGCAGCTGGCCGTGACCTTACGCAAGGGGGAGATCCTGGATTGCGATACGCGCGGTCACCAAAGACCAGTTGGGTTACTCTGTGTGTGTGTGTGTGTGGGGGGGGGATCGCTCGTAAACGCAACGCAAGCAGGAGCGAGCCCACTCCGCTATCGGAACATCTGATGCCCGTTGTCTACTAATTGGAGTGTTGGATGTTTAGGACTCCGCCTGGCTCCGTGGGAAAAGGCGCAAAACTTTCCGAACAAAGCCGTTAATTGGCGAGATTACTACCATATTTTAAATAGCTGAAACACCGAGGGGGGAAATACAAGAAAACCTGAACAAAGAAACATCCGACAAAATAGGACTCCTAGAATCTGAAAGATATTTTGTTTAGTTTGTTCTCAGAACATCCTTGTTCTCTCAGAGAGAACGAACAAACTTTTAATCGCAAAGGACAGCGATCTTTCGTATTATACTACATTTCTCACTGCAAATCTCGAGGGTTTATGCCTGCAGTTCCCACGAACATTCTTGCCATGCCCTGCATCGCAACGAGGCAAATGAATGCTGTAATATGGAATTCTCCTTTCTTACTTGTTTCTACATTTAACTTTTACTTGTCAACTCAAGGCCCCATGCTGTAAGAAAAGTTACGTTTAGTACGTTCTATAAATTAATCGGTATGAACACGCCCATCAGAAATATAAGCTACCGAAGAATTGAAAACAAGATTAAATACAAATAAAAAATCAGACGAACGTTTAGAGTATTCATTCAAGAAATTAAACAAACACCAACGAGCATCCTCTACAGATTGTGGAAGAAAATATGTTCGACTAGAACCAATACGAATAATGCACGAATTTAATCGAAATAATGAGAGTCCATGCATATTTAGGCAGATATTAAATCACGCAGAAAGAACAATACATATCCTTATTATATTTTTATACATATGTAGAATTTGCCCACATCAGTGGGTGAACTACCCGATATCCGTCTGAGGCAAGAGGAAAGCGTATTTTCGTAAGACGGAAAGTAATCGAAACCATCTCGAATGTGCGGGGTATAGAAGAATTCTTGCACGTCCCACAAAATGTTATTTTCCTGCTTTTTGCCCAATACAAACTCCACATTCACTCGGCGATGGAACCGCTAAGTAATGAATATTGAAGTAATGAAATTTCCAGCATCATTATGACAAGTCCCTGGAGACGAATACGCGAGTCAAAATCATTCCGTAACCCTTTGAGTGGTGTCAAATAAATACTCAGTAATGTGGCTCACTTAGGGAGGCCCAATGCATTCGTTGGCCCATATCCATTTCCAGTGGCCCATTTCAAGTGCCCGATGATTTAAAAAAATAGAGGTAAACAAACAACATCATTTTTTTTCTTCTTCATAATGTAAGAAATTTGTAGGTCTGTACTTTGAACAATGTAACTTGAGTTCATGTCACACGAAATTTCGAAATTCAATAAACTAATTGATGCGAGTTACTTGAAATTGTGAAATTAATTGATTCGAAAAAAATGAAAATTAAAATTTTTAATAACATTATTTAGTCCACAATAGCCTTCGAATGTGGGACACGAGACATATTTCATTCGCTCTTCAGCAGGTGCGTTACGGGCCCCATAGATGTGCAAGATGGAAGACAGATTTGCCCAACCGGATAAACACGACCATGTGCGGCCACAAATGCTCAAGTTAAACGATCGACAAGAAACCCGTCGGATACTGATTTTCTTCAGGGCAAGGGTTTAACCTTAACGTGATGGTAGTTTCCTCTGGTCTGTAGAACCCACAGCGGTGGAAGCTGTTGCGATAAGCATAAGATGCGACTGTGGGTGCCTTGAGAGAGCGTCATCCCGCACGGGTAAAACTGACACAAACCCCGAACGCGTATACGATCACATCTACATAGAACTGTAAAGGGAGATGCATGTAGGTCCAGCTGTGCAAAACCTAAAACGGTGAAACAGAAACCTAGAATACTAGTGATGAGTAAAATTTACTCGCTCACTATATTTTTTACATAACGCATATCTGTAGTGGTGTGCCAAGATCCTCCTAGCAGTGTAATATTTTTATTATTCGGACTTTAATATGCGCATAATCTCAGTGTTGTTATTGTATTTGTTTCCTTACAGAAAAATAAAATCTAGATCAGTGAATGCATTTTAGGCACTGCTTTATACGTAGTATGAAGGAGTCCCGGCACAGCGGAGCCCCAACAGCTGGACTCTTCATTAAATTGTTAAACAATACATTAAAAGTTGCTTCATTGTTTAATTAGTATTTCTCGAGACCTTAATTGTGTTTAGCGATAGTTTTTACTAATCGTCAAAATTCCAAACTTGTTCCTTGTAGAAACTGTTGACTTTAGAAGTGAATTCATTTTACTCATCACTAGTAACAAGGGACAAATTTGAACCCCTGAGTTGTCGATTTAAGCCCGAGACGCGGAGAGACGGGTCGGGTTCGGGGTGCGGGGGGGTAGGCGCGTGGGCGTGGCTTACCGTTCGGTGGTGGGGTCTGCGCAGTTGAGCGGGAAGCGCAGCTCGATCACCTCGCCGTTCTTCTCGCGCAGCTGGCCCTGCGTCTCCATGTAGAACTGCACCAGCTCCGACAGCGTCGCGAACTTCTCCCCGCCGTACAGGTCGTAGAAGTCGCCCGTGTTCTGGATCTTGATGTGCGTCACTTCGCCGTTGCGCCTGCGCCACAAGCCAAAAAAACCAAACTTCTTATATAACATTCCTTTTAATACATTGTAGACCATCATAAACTACTGAAACATCAATTACAGTTCTAAATTAATGTTTTTGTTATAATCTTGGAATTTACTATTTTGCATTATTGCGACGTTTTGGGGCCCTAAATTAGACCCATCTTCAGTTATACATAAACTGAATAAAATAAATAAATAAAATAGAAAAAAATAAATATATCTATTACATATTAAAATTAACAGAGTTTCCACTTCATACGAACAAATAAATAAATCAAGTAAATATTAAGCAATCATAAGTAGATATTACATATTAAGCTACAAGCTCGATTAAGCAACCTCATGAAATGATTGCGAAAAACAAGATCATGGTGAGAACACTCATCAAGAAAAAGTAGGGAAAGGTGCAAATGTGGGGAGAAACTGAAAGAAGTAACGGAGGGAATGAGTGGGAGAGAGGAGAGAGATTTGACACTGAGTCGGAATATTAATTTTGGAGAAAATCGCTAGAATAGTTTAGCCACTAGCGTTGTTCTTCTTCACACACGGGAAGACAGAAGTCAGACAGAGATGTTCGCCGTAAACCAATTTTTCGTTATTAAGGATCCCCAGAATGTGGATTCTGACTACACAACTTGACAGAGTAAGTCATTTACTGCTTATTGGAACAAGGTTTATCCCCTTTTTAGGTATCATGAACCCACAATGCGATTTTTTCGCCAAAAAATGGCTGGTTTATGCTGCAGCATAACACAACTTCCAGCATCACAATTCTACAATAAGTATAAACATGTTTGAAAAATTATCAATACATTATTTAAAATTATCAATATATCTACACTAATAGCCTACATAAGTTTGTTCCTGCATACATTATCTTAAATATGTTTTAATGAAGAGTGCCAGTTATATAAAAATGTACGTAATTCATTATCATAATCATGGAGATGATAACTCTAACCTCAACGTTGACATGTGGGTACGAATTTATAAGGTAAAATATATGATATTCAGAACGTTTGAAATCATATTAGTTTTCAGAATTGGTAAACTAAATTATCAGGTCATTCTGAAACGCAATTAGAAATAACCTACTTGTTAAATGACAATTATTCCAGGAACAAAAAGAAAATTAACTTACGTAACGATTGTAATCCACTTCTACCATGCTGTTATGTCAAGGTATTACTACATGCACTTCAATTAAATGTCGCACTCAAATAGTCAAAAGAGATTAGGTACAACAAAAAGTAGTGTTACTTATTTTTTTGTATTTTTAAATCCCCTTCAATGACTTTAATATGTGCTGCATCTTGGACAAAACGTCCAAGTATATCATCATGGCCTAAGGCACAAAGTCACATAAAATTCAAGTCGGCCATGACTAGATGCATGAAGAGTACAAAAATCAACAGCAAATTATTATACAATACGCGTATGTACAGTGTTTTGTAGTTCATATATAGTGTAGTTAGCAACGCCATCGTTTCAGAAGAAATTGTTGAATGTATATTGTACTGAGTAAATCGTAGTTAGATTGAGATTTATTTAGTCAAAAAAGTGTAAAAACTGAATGTGACGTATGGGAGAGAAGACCATCTATAGTTAAAATATAATTATTAGATAAGAAATATACTATATAATACTTTTCTTTCAAGAAAGACTACACTAAATTACGGAAGTGTTTGTAAATTTTCTTGGCGAATGAGAAAAAGTTCAGAGACCTAAAAATCTTTAAATAATTTAATATATTATACATACTGTTTACAAATACAAGCTAAAATCTTCAAGTTAAACCTTTTAAACATATTACGCAATTTTTGACAATACCATATCTTCAATATTTTAAAGAATTTAACAACCAAAACAATCACAATTTACTTAATTGGAAAGAACCTTGAATACGTTGTTTCTGTGTTTTTTCTCGAGCATTCACAAACTGTGAACAAACAAACCATCGCGCAAACAAAATATGAGGAAAGATTACACGGAAAGAGACAGAAAATCTGCACATAATTATGAAAAACGTGTAGTAAAGGCGAGTTCCCCAAACACGAAATGTCCCCTCTTTCCGTGAGTTCCGGACGCAAGAAAAGTCGTAAATGACGTCATTTGATGGGAAGCTTAGCACAAATTATCTTTTTTTCAACCCAGACTTTAATGCCCCACTTAAATGTTTATATTATATGTAAACTGTTATTAATGTTTACATCGTCTAATGAGAAGTTTAGTGAGCTTTTTCAAAAAAACAAAATGTTTAAAAAATCAGGATATTAGTAAGGACTGCAGCGGTCAATAGATTGGGAGTAACAAGACACACATAACAGGAAATATACAATGATATTTAAACTATTGCTTCAAAACTAGCTAACATGAGAAAAATATGTCCAGTATGTACTACATACATTCTCATAAATATTCTATAATGCAATGACAAAAATATTTTAGCGATGCCATAACATGCTCATTTCCCCTCCCCCTTAATTCCTTCGGAACGATGTAGGCCAATAAAATATCATTTAAGATCTCTGCTCCCAAGACCTTGCACACGAATGTAATCCTACGCCATTTGTACTGTTCGTATTCGTGCATCCGTAACTGCAAGTAATCGTATGCAATTTATACAGTTCGTAGTCGAAACTAAATTATAGTTGTTATATCATTTATAGTATAGATTTACTAGTATTTTTCTTGGACGCCCAGGAAAGAAAGCCAAGGTTTAAGTCAGATAGAAGAAACAATTTTATGATATAACGTCATGGCAAAGTCGCTCGGATGACTGCATGGCGGTGATAAGGCCACAAAGAAGTTCTAAGGCATCGACAGATGCTTTTAGATTATAAATTATAATATCTTTTAAGGTAAAGAATACTGAAACATGTATCTCAATTTTGAATTCCCCAACACTGTATACTTCATATGCCACTGATATATGATTCCTTTACACACGCGTGTCTTTCCCAAATAATGAAACTTTCTAACACTATGGGGTATATTTTACGCCTGGCTCTAATGTACCCGCAGAAACACTTTCGTGTGGTAAAAAAGTTACGGACGAATGAATAAACACAGTTGTAAGTAGCACTTCTTAAAATAATGTTAATTATCAAATTAAATTTTAATAAATTTTGCCAAGAATTTCATTCTTATTCAAACACACAATTGAGCAATTGGTTCTTCAGAGAATTAGACGAGGTAAATAATTTATTTTCATACTGTTATTACAGTTCTTTTCATTAATATACACAAACTGTAAACAAAAATTCTGTTTTTGAATACTCATACTATAATCTAAACATTATTACTTGTAGGTGTTACGTTTCGGAGGAAAATAAACATTGGCATGGCCGCTTTTAATAAAGGCCTCGCCCAAAAGAACTGGCAACATTGTTTCTGTCCTCGCGTACATCCCGCTATTCGCCTCGCGTCCGTGCAAGGAAGCATTGGCGTCAGCAAACACCAAGTTATCTAGGGGGAGCTAATTGTTAAAGTACATTCCCTTCAATATGAATACCGAAAAAATACTGGCGGGGAACAGGCGTCTTCCCCGATGCCAGAACATGTGCAATCGTTTTATCATTAAGTAGAAAAGAAATTGAGTCTTTTGGTAAATAGGAATTTATACGTAGCAAATGCTTACATTAAAAAAAATAGTATATGTGCAAATCATTCAAACGTACCAGACGTATCAATGATAACAGTTTCGTTTCTTATACTATTCATCAACAATCAACATATTATTAAAAATATACACCTGTGCAAAACAACTTATTAATAAAGGTTAACGAAAACTGATGCTTCACTAATTTTACTGCTATGCTAACTTTATTAATTTCCGTCGTTTATTCCGCTGACCGCGTTACTATTTTTTTTCCGCCGTACGAGTTCAAAATCCGCTGAAAACGGCGGGAATTCCGCCGATATGGAACACTGCCCTGCCCCGGTGCGGTGCGGAGAGCCCTTGCCTGGCGCGAAGCGCACTGCGCCGACGCGGAGCGGGCCGCTTACCGGACGGAGAGCGTGAAGTCGCCGGGGTTGGAGCGCGAGTGGCGCGCCAGGAAGCTGCCGTCGAAGCCGCGCTCCATCAGCAGCACCTCGGCGTCCAGCCCCGACACGTTCGGGTGGAACCATCTGAAACACACACGAAACATCAGCCGTCGCTCTCAGGACGTACCCACCTCTTTCTAATTCTTACTATCTCACCTTCTACCTCAACTTCATCCTCTCTCTTTCTCTTTCTCTCTTTTTTTTTACATGAATGTACGTTGAATTTGGAGTATGTAGCACTACAGAACAGTAAGCAAGTTAGTTATCGTATTAACATCAGCACTAACAAATAAAGAGATGGTGCGTTCACAATCTTTTATGGATTAGTTTTCAAATATACAATATACGGGGAGCAAACGACGAAAATTCGCAAATAAGCTAAGCCAATTTTAAGCATATTTTGTCTAATAAACTACTGGGATACTCCGAATGGTTGAGCCGCAATAAGTACTCAAAAGGTTAGCTTTGAAAAAATGCTTTCTAGGCAAAAACATGCCTTGCAGAAACATAGAAACACTCCAGAAACATGTAAAGTGTCTATTATTTACTAAATAAATGTATATTTTTCTTTGTGGCTTAGCCTTTTGGAATATCCAAATACTTTATTAGACAAAATATGCTTTAAATTGTCTTAAGGGTGTATTTTCGAACTTCCGAAGTTTCCTCCCCAGACATTGTATAAATTAGAACAGTTGAGGTAATATAAAGAGCTAAGAAGCTCAACGGGTGTAGAGACAAAATCACAAGTATGTACTGCTACCAAAGACAATCTTGGCACAACTCGGTTTTGTTACAAAATAAAGTTTTTAGTTGATGGAACATGTGCAGCTACATGATGAATGATGTTATGTACTCTCAATAAAATCTAATCTCTCATATAATGACATACGAACGGTTTGGTGCTCTGGCAGTATAATTTAGCAACATTACATAATTTAGGCAACAACAGTTACAAATACCTACTACCAGATAGCTTCAAGAATGATGCGATGTAATGTGGGCGCAGACAAAAATTCAACAAAATTAATTTGGGCTTTATGGCCATTTTATCATTCATCATCTTCAACAACTTATCAGTAAGTTAAGTATGTTACTCGTGTATATGTAATGATCTTCAAAACAAAGGTTGTTTTGAATAATAATTATTGTTATTATCATCCATCTCCACCTTCAAAGTACTCATAAACAATAGTGCAAATTGATAAAATGGAGACCAACAGAAGGTGCAGCCATTTCAGAATCCTGCTATTGCATCATCGGGGTAAACTAACCGGTTCCAGTTCCCGAGGTCAATTCAATTAGTCAAATAACTTCACAGAATCCTATTAACAAAGAAACAATTTGCTCATTTTTTTCTTTTTGAACTCCCTCTTCTCTTTCTACATACGTAACGCGTTTCATTTCACCATACGAAATCAGTGCTCGCCGTATATTAAACTCAAAAAGCTAACAGAAACGTTCGAAGCTGTGTTAAAGAGACTACTGGTTCCTAACCCGACATCGCCATGTCAGGGGACATCCTAAATGCTTTCGTTCTAGTCGCATCTTGGGCATGCGTATTTGTGCTTGTCACTTCTCATAATCAACACTAAAGTTCTCATAGTTTCCTTCAAGGGCTAACAATCGTTGTAATAATTCGTTGGGAAGAAAAGAATATCATTTGTTGACACTTCGCGACACAGCCGCGTAGGAGGGTGAAAGACACATACTCTAACCTTCGAGAGTATCAGATGCACCAAAATTAAACAAATTTGCACATCTCAATGGGTTAAGAATAATACTTGCACAAAAAAGATCGAGTACTCTAATAAAGATAAAATGTGCGCTTTTCATCTATGTGTAAATCCGAATACTGATATGAACTGAACTATTTCATTAAGTCGAAATTATCTACTACATGATCAGTACTAAAACTCGTTTATAAATGGGGAAGAAATAATGTAATACATTTGTACAAACACCTGGTACACAATTAAAGCGATTAATTAATTAACATTTCTTTCCTTTTTCAATATGTACACCAAACGGTGTTGCATGATATGCGGGATTTCTCTCTGCAGATAAGCACACAAAAAGCCATGTAATGCTTGTCAGGCTGCAAGCACGTCCCATATTAAAAGGTCAACTGAAGTTTCTAATAGATGCATACACGCAATGAAGCCAATATTCTTAGAATAAGTGCAAAGTTTAAAAATCGAAAATTAATTTCATCTCATTCGCGAATCAACCGAACGTCACCGTCACACGAACGCAGACGGAAAACCGAAGCCAGAGCCACGTAAAGAAGAGTCAACAAAGAACACCCACATGAACCGCCTTCCATCACGTCCGAAGCAGGGAGGAAAGATGCCGTGCGGATGGCTCTTCCGCGAACGCCGTTGGCTGGCACAGCGCGGCGCTGGGGCGGCAAATAACGAGGACCTTACGCAAGGCGAGGACGGCGTCTCCAGTGGCTCTTCCCAGGAGCCCCACAGCGCGCGGGCCGCGCCGGATTCCCAAGCAGGGCGCAATTTGCGACGCCGGCGGCGCTGCCGTCGTTTTTCCTCCGAGCGTTTAGAGTGGAGACGATCCAACTGCGCCCCCTAAAGTGGCTTCATAGCTCTTGTCCCTAGGAATTCTGCAATTCACCTTCGTCGAGGAAACCGACATTACTTTTTAAGATGTTATGGATACGGGTTTTACACGGGAAGATCAGGAATGAAATCAGGAATGGTACAATCCTAAAAAAAATATTTTTTCTGCCATCGATAATAGTAGTTTATGCAATTAGTTTATAATGTTAAGATTTACTGCATGAATAAGTGTTTTGAAAACGAGCAACTTTAGGAGCGAGTTTTCAAATTTGTACGAATGCCGAATTTGACATTATAAGCGAGTTACATACAATATTTTTTGTATAACAGCATTATACATTTATAAGAGAATCAAACTTAATTTTGCGAAACAACTTCCCTGTGACGACTCGGGTATTTGACATCGTGCGAGTAAACGGTGGTCGGCTGTTCTGTTTAGCTCTACCTCCCCCCGATTATCTCGCTACGATTGGCTGAATGTGTGATGACGCAATCATTTGTGCCGTAAAATGCCCGATTATGAACGATTTCTTTAAACAGAAATGGTTCTTTTATAATACTGGAATACAAAAAAAAAAATCAGTTCCTACATCTTGGAGTAACCATTTAAGAACGAAGAAGAATGGATCCAAAAGCAAGTATTTGAGTACAATCTGTATTGAAACGAAGACATTGGAAGCCCATGCAAGAGGTGGATGATCGTCCTTGCTTCCCAAAGAGGTGAAATCACCTCATCCATGATTGAAGAAGACGACTGCCGCCAAGACACGTTTCCAATTCCTTCCCCCAGAGTACAAATTGGCAATTTTCTCCGGGGAGACCTTCAACATTCCAGGCGTGAAACGGGAGATCAACACATGAAACAAAATCTACCTTTCCTTTCGCAGCACAATCGAAAATATACTACGAGTGACTTTGGGAAAGATTGTTTTCCAATTTCCTCGATTTGGGTTCATTCGTGTGAACATTTGAAAGAGTGGAAAACATAAATGAGGAATGAAAAAATAAGTGAAGTGCCGATAGCGTATGTTTCTGTGGTACGGCCGAAGTCAGTATCTACGTGCCTGTCCGAGAGACTCCGCGCCCTATGCACAGATTCAGAGGCCGCCTCCTAGGCATCTGTGTCTAGGTGGAGGTGTCACTCAGACAGGCAAGTGGACATGGAGAAATCCTGTCCCTGGCAGGACCAAGTCAATACTTTTCAAGCAGTGGATATCAAACTTTCCAGGGGAGACCGGCGGTCCCCAGCACACGATTCGTCAAGGTGCACCCAACCTTCCTGTTATGCCAAGGTACTGACTTTCCAACCCGGGATAGAGCTTCCACACTCGGCAGAAAGGGGTAGATTTTTAATGGAGGTAAACCCTCAGTATGGCAACTCTCGCTTCTGGCACAAAACGAGCCTATGGAGATGTCCTTCAGATGAATCCCTCCGTTAAAAAAAGTCTTATCGAGATCACAAGTTTTACCTTCCAGCTAGCTCAGACATTACTATGCGAGACCGACATGTCACGGAGAGTGTGTGTGTTATACAGCAAGTGCGATTATAGGGACGTCTTCCGGGCGCGCCTGTCCGACAGATTGTTAAGAGCAGCACTGAGGATAGATTTCGAATGAGGCGAAAGTGAGAGTGTAGAATACGGCCTAATGGCAAACGACCTGATCGCAAAATGAATTAATTGATTGCATTTCTTACGGCTAGTGTGACTCGCGAAGCGTCACTCAGAGGAATAAAAAATCACTCTTAACTGCCGTCATAAGAACTCCTAAGCAAAGCAAAGATAAATTAATTACATGATATTATAAATATCAGTGTAGCACCTTCGTCACGTTTTAATGATACAAACTTATCTTGTAGGAATGTCGCATTATACAACTGGTCGAAAGTACTGAACGCCAGTAATAGCTTTCGTTTGTTAATAATTGAAAGATGAAATTTTTTTTCTTTAATAATTGAAAGATGCTTTCCTGTGGTTGAAGACTTAAAGGGGTTCTTACCAGGAGCCCTAGAATGCGCGGAGAGTTCCCGCGAATAGTCGAATTTCCGCAGCCAAGAGCACCTCGTCACTTTTCCTCCTTGTACTTAATCGCCCCTTCTCTCTCTGCATGGGCCGTGTCCATTACTGCTTCCTAAAGTCGCCGTCGTGGTCGTCAAACTCAACACGTGACTTCCGTCAACTTTGTCTCTGAATACCAGTGATTCCCAATCGGGGATTCACAAGTTTACATGACATTTACAAATAAACAAATATGTTCAGGAATAAAGATACTTATCGTTTTTGCCCCATATTCATCCCAGCTGCCATCTATTGGCGCCCAAAATGCATTTTTTTTCACGTTTTCTCAACTGTTCTGTCCTATATTTGGAAAACTGAAAATGACTTTATGAAAGAAGAATGAAACTTGGATCTATATTCAAATATGCACGTGTGTTCGAGGTTTACTCTGGACTGATGCGTTTATCAAAAATAAAATCTTAACTAGTACATTGTTTTTTCTCCAATCCGAAAA